TGACATAATCTGTCTAATCCTGACAAAATCTAATCCTGTCATAATCTAATCCTGTCATAATCTAATCCTGACATAATCTAATCCTGTCATAATCTAATCCTGTCATAATCTAATCCTGACATGTTGCAATTCTGTCTTTTTAATAAAAGTTTTGATTTGCTGATTTTCTCTTGATTTGTGTTAAAATGATTTGATTAATTTAGAACCGGTTCTGACCAGAACAGATCGGTCCAGTTTAATGTGGGTCCATGCAGAAACAGCAGCATGTAAACAGTGTGTGTGTGTGTGTGTGTGTGTGTGTGTGTGTTGCAGTAAACAACACTGGAGTTCTTTGATCAATCTTTATTAAACACACTGAACAGTTCTGTTGTCTATAAATAAATAGTTCCATCCTGTGGTTTGGGATGTCCTCGGACCGGGCCGGAACCGGACCGGACCGGGCCGGGCCGAGGGAACTGTTGTTTGCTTTGTCAGCAGGTCCGATCAGAACACGTGTGCTGGTTCTGTTCTGCTCAGAAACACTGAGCTCCTCATGCAGATAAATCAAACAAACTCACATGAAGGTTGGAAACAAACTGTTTGGGTTTTTGGACCAAGTCCAGTTCTGACATTTTAAAAGGTGTAATCATTATCTTACCTGCTGCAGATGCTTCTCTGAACTGAACTGTACAGCTGATGATATTCAACAGATATTTTTATTTTTCTCTTAAATAATCCTTTAATTCTGTGTGGTTGATTYTAAAAACATTAAACTTGAAATGTTTCTATCAAAACGGGCCGTGAGTGGAAGCTAACCTGTTCAGCTACATTTAAAACATTTTTCTTCAGATGGAGGACGTTCAAAGTCTGCAGCAGGTAAGATATTTATTCTGACCTGTGAACAGAACCTGACTGTTGATCAGGTCAGAAGCAGCAGGTGGATCTACTTCCTGCAGCTGGTTTGAACAGAACAAAAACAAATCAACACGACGACTTCAGAGTAAAATATAGAAGATTGAAATCTTACATCAGTTTGAAAATCTAAGACCAAACATGGTGGACAGCTCGTCTTTTTATTTTCTTCTTTTAGAAAAGTCTTGTTATGAAAATAAAAGTCAGGATTCTGTGAATGAGAATGGGAGAAGGAAATACTGTCTCACTTTAGTCAAACTGTCTCTAATGGAGGACAGAGGACTCTGTCCCCCTGCAGCCTGTCCTGCCTCTCGTCCCGTCTCCTCCGTCCGTCAGGAGGTCCGTTGGTTCGGAACAGGTGTCGGCGCAGGCTCAGTACGAGCCGTAACGATCCTGAGAACCCAAACAAAACACGGTCAGACACGCCCTCTTCAACATGGCCGCCACAGAGTCATGTGACAGGAAGTAAGACCTGAACAACAAGATCATCCTGGGGCTCCTCCTCTTCTACACTCAGAACTCAGACGAACCCTCCAGACTCACAGGTGTCTCACCTGAATGGAGTTCATCACGCCGTTGGCCAGGACGGCCATCTTTCCTGCGACGGTCTTCACCCCCTGTTTGAACTGGGCCATGTCCGGTCCAGAAGGAAGCACGCTGTCGAAGCCTGAGCCTGAGGAAGAGGACAAACAAACCTGTTTCAGCTCAGGAACTTCCTTCAGATTCAGCCTCAAACGTCAGCAGTATCAMTCCGCTGCAGAAAGTAGATCCTGTTCAATAAATCAGCTGTTCCTACCTTTGTGGTCGGCTCCGTCTCCAAACAGGTCAGCTGAGCTGATGGAGGTGCTGGACGACAGACTCTCCAGCTTGGTCTTTGCATCGTACTGACAGAGAACACAGGTTAAACATCAGCACGGCTGCAACTAACCATTGTTTTAATAATCCATTAATCTGTCAATTATTTTTTCAATTAATCGATTAATCATCCAAATCATTAAAACGCTTAATTACATGAATTTGAGTAGATATGAATTAATTTAATTCCTGTATAAATTAGGGATCCAAGTTATTCATTAATAAATTAATTTGAAGT